TCCAGCTTGAGGGTTCAGGAACGAAAAATTTCGGTCTACCCACCCAAACACCCAAAATACCCAAACACAAAAACCAACCGAAAACAACCACAAACAGAACCGCCACAAAAAAACCAAAACAGAAACAAAAAAAAAAAAACGCAGTCCTCGCCTACGGCGAGGAACCTCAGCGCCAAGCTTCCTGCACGAAGAAGAGAAAGAAATGTCAGCTTCAAAAAAAAAAAAAAAAGGAAAGAACGCAGAAAAAAAAATATTTTTTTGTGGCCGAAACTTTGAAGACAGATCTAGGAATTTTGAGACTCCTTTTGGTGAAAAGGAGGTCAGATCTACGCTCAGGGGGTCGAGAAGAGCTTGTGGGAGAATTTTAAAATTTTTCGACCACCGGAGACGGTGGCCGGAGATCGGCGGTGACGACGGACGGCGGCGGCACCAACGGCTGACCGACAATCTGCTGAAGAAGAAGAAAAAAAAAATTTTTTTTTTCCTGGAAAAATGAAAAACTGACCAAAAAAAAAATTTGAAGCCTTTTATATAAACTGCCAAATCAAAACGACGTCGTTCATTAAATGCCAAATAACGACGCTCGTTTTGAAGGCCCGAAGATCGCGCGTCAAACCCGCGACCCGACCGGTCCGCGCGCCAGACCCGCGACCCGCTTCCTTCATTCCGCTCTGCCCGGTCTGACTGGACCGAACCGGAACCGCCAGACAAAACTGAACGGTACTGAACCGCCGAACCAAGCCAGACCGGACCGAACCGCCAGACAAAATCGAACGGGTACTGAACCGTCAACCAACCAGACCGAACCGAGAACCGTCGATCCAAACCGTCGAACGGTCAGACCGGCCCGGACCAGCGTTGAGCAAACCGTTGACCGGTTCCGGGTTTAGTAAAAAAAAATTTTTTTTGTGTAATTTTTCTAATTTTTTATTATTATTATTATTTTTTGTTATTTTAAATAGATTTTATATTTATGCATGTATACATTTATAAATTTGTTAGAATAAATGTTTAATCGTTTTAATAATAATAAAATTAAAAACAAATAATAATTAAAATATATTAAAATGCTTTAAAATAATAATAATAATTTTTCCTGCCTAGATGTTGGAGGGAATAAAAATATTTTTCTAAAAACAATAATTCTGCCTAGATGTCGGGGAATTGTTGTTAATAATAAATAAATATAAGAAATTTTTAATTAATTTTCAAAAATTATTAAAATCGAACTTGCTTCAAAAATTCGCCTAGATGTTGGGGATTTTTAGAGATGTTCGTATTTTCTTAAAAAAATGAAACCTTAAGCGCTATTTCTTAATCCTAGGTTTCTAAAACCCTTAAAAATCCAAAATCCATTAAATTCAAAACCGCTCGAAATCCAAAATCCTTGAAGTCCAAAGTCCGAAAAATCCTAAGGACACGTGTGAAAATTCTATTGGAAGCAATTTGTTCCCGAATGCCGCCTAGATGATGGGGTATTTAGAAAATTTTACTTCATTAAGTCTTTTCACACGAGTTCATAATTCATATTAATAATAAGATTAATAAATAAAAAGTATAATAAAATTGGGATTTTAAATATAAACAGTCGCACCTAAGCTCTGCTTAGATGTTGGAGAGTCGGGGTGGTCTCATTATATTTAAGAATCCAACTCTTAAATTGCATCTCATTTTACATGACATTCATTAGCATACATACGTTATCGTATTATCATCAATAATTGTCTGCATTATTCTCTCTTTAATTTACTCATGGTACTCTGTCTAGATGTTGGAGAGTCACCAACAATTTTCTGTAAAGAGTGTTATTTCATTTTAAGGATTGCAGTGTTAAATCTTAAGCGAAAAGAGTTACTTTAAATTCTGCCTAGATGTTGGAGAATTTTAAAATAATTCTTTAACTTAAAGATTTTCTCAATATTCCTAAATAAAAATTTTAGCAAAAAAAAATATTTTTTTAAATGAAGGAAATTAATGTTAAATTTCAAACTAAAACCATTTTTATCCGACATTGAAAATAGCGCATAGTTGAATGGTACCAATTTATGGACGTTGTGGGGGTGCTAATCCTTCCCCACGTGTAACCGACTCCCGGACCCAACCTGATTTTTCGTAGACTGAAATATATCTTTTTGATAAACTTTAAACCCGTTTTTATAGTTTTATTAAAAAGATAAACTTTTGGGTGGCCAATCACACCCTAATAAAGATTGGTGGCGACTCCCTCGTTTTTATTTTTCTCAATTTTAAAACAACTCGTTTTTACGTCTGGCGGTCTCAAAACCGTTACGACAGATTGGCGACTCCACTGGGGACTTATTTGAGAGTCAGGCCAAAATTTTAATTATGCGCTATTGACAATGGTTGGATTTAATTGATTTTATTTGATATTTAATTTAATTTCTTTTATTCAATTTTTTTTTCTGAAAACAGTCATGTTAATAAATGAAATAAATTATGTGCTAGTTATTACTTCATTTTTTATTTTGGTTTTTGATTTATTCATGATTAATACATTACCTTGCACACATTTTGCATATTCACTTGCATACATGAGCTCTATACCCGGGCTCCGTCCTTTTAGGAGGAAGTGAAGTAGCTACGCTCTCGTGAGGTGATAACCTCCGCATTTGCTAGCGAAACACTTTCACTCAGATTGAACCCGTTCCGTTAGTAGCCTGTAATGGGTGAGGATCGGGGAGCCTTACTAGTCTATAATGGACGATGATGTGAGGAATAGTCTGGGAACCTTTAGACATGCAAATCTTAACCCAGCATATAATGAGCCGTAAAGTCCAACTTTAGGATAGAGCCATACTGTCCCTTTTGTGAAAAGATTACCTAAATTAGGACACTATGTATATTCTGTTATGCTTGTTCATTCATTTACTCAGTTTTATTTATTTGTTTTATTTACATTATTGATTTGTTTTATTGTCTTCAATTTTGTTGCATGCATCATATAGGTACCATTTTTAAAAGGGTATTGTTTTGGACCAATCTAAAAAAAAACTTTCAAAAAACCTAAAGGATGTCATCTGTGTGTAAGAGCTACTTAGAGGTCAAGAGCCATTCAGAAGGTATTCAGAGGAAAGAAGGAGATTGCTTAGTTGAGGGTTACATATCGGTGCTACTACAGTCAGTGCATGTGGATCTCAGTCAGAATAATATATCAGAATTGGAAGCCATTTGGAAACAGTGGAGAATGGAGAAAAAAGAATCTTTTTCCAAGAAATACGGGGATGTGGCACTGCTTATGTCTGTGAAGGTTGATGAACAGCTAATGAGACCCGCAATACAGTTCTGGGATCCATCTTATCAATGCTTTGTATTCAACCAAAAAGACTTGGCTCCCACGATCGAAGAATATTCTTCTTTACTCCGGATAGAGTCTACCAATCAAGACAAGATCTATTGGAAAGAGCATAAGACCACTGGATATAGAAAAAAATTAGCCAAAATCATGCAAGTGGAGGTTGAAGAGATAGACAAGCACAAGAAAGAAAAAAATAGGGTTGACATCATTCCATCAGCTTTTCTGCTCGAGTACATAAGAAAGTATATTGATACCGATCAGGGGTCGGATGTGTTTGCTTTGGCCATCTATGGATTGATGATATTCCCTAAGGTTTTAGGACATATAGAAGCATCAGTGGTTGATTTCTTTGAGCAATTAGATAAAGGTATTAACCCTTCACCAACTATTTTGGCAGAAACTATTAGATCACTTAATTTTTATCGAAGAAAGGGTGAAGGATGATTTATGGGGTATGCTCAGTTACTATTTATCTGGCTCAGAAGCCATTTTTGGGGAAAAGAAAGACATCGTTTCGACCATTCTCCGTGCATTTCAGTCCTATCAAGGAGTTTATGACTAAAGAATGGAGAAAAGATTGGACAAAAAGTCAGTGGTTGGCATTCTTTTTAAAGCTCACTAGCGAAGATGTAACATGGAGGGCACCATGGATGCTTCCGATGGCTATCTTATATAGTTGTGGAGACGAGTCATGGGTACCTCTGTTAGGAATATGGGGGGCAGTGAGTTACGCGCCCCTTATGGTTCAAAGACAATATGATTCACGACAGTTCATCCCTATGACTCATAGGCTTGGTTCACTCGAGTTTGAATATGGAACACCCGGTTATATGAAAAGGGTTCGTGAAATCATCAAAGCATGGAAGCAGGTCAATCGAATGAGCCCAGCTAGACTCGCTGATAATGTTGCTGAAGGTTACCTTGCGTGGAGGATGAAAAGAGTTAACGAAATTAGGCCTCTACCAGCTGATGTTTCAGAGAAGTTGTCGGCTCCTGTTTCAGTATCGGTATTGTCGACTCTTGAGATCGCCCAACGAGAGTTTGAGATTGAAAAGAAAAGGTTAAAGAAAGAAAAGGTGGCTATGATGGATCAAGTTAACCAATTAAGATATGATTTGATGATGAAAAATGATGCAGTACAGAAGTTGACTAAAGAACGAAAAGTATTGAAAGAGGATCTACAAGATTTGCATCAAGAAAATAAGAAATTAAGGTTGGATAGTAGACCTTTGAAGGGATCCAAGAAGGATGTGGAAGAACTACGAGACATGGTGAAATATTGGAAGAACAAAGCTCGAGAGAACAAAGAAATGATCTTCACACTCACCAAAGAGCAACATGAATGGAAAGAAAAACTTTCAGGGGCCTCTGAAAAGGTAACAAGGCACCAAAGAGAAAGTGAAAAGCTAAAAGCTGAGCTAATGAGGGAACAAAGTAAGAACTCCGATTTGCAAAGCAAGAAAAAAGCCTAGAGCATGAATTAATGAGTTTGGAGCTTCAATTGACAAGCAATCAGAGGCACATAAATGAGATTTTGACTGAGTGGCAAGATAAAGAAGATTATTGGGCTCGCACTTGTAATATGGAGGTAGATGCTCGAGAGATGTGAAGAGTAGAAAGTTTAGGGAGGTAGCAATACATCGAACACCAGGCTGCTCAAATCTATAAGGCTGTTCAAAAAGCAGGCAACATGGTTGAAAAGGCGAAAGCACTGGAACGAGAGATTGTACCAACCCAAGGCCACAGTCAAAGATTATTGCACTTTTTTCATGAAGCTAGGGAGTAATGTGCTCAAATCAAATGTTTTTATGGCTTTAATGCAAGAATGATTGGATGATGTGTAAAGACTCCCATGGTTAATGAAAGTTTCTTTTTGTTTCGATCGATCCAAGATAATACCCTAATTTGTATTTCATTCATTTCATGCATGCATTTTCATACTAACAATAATATCAACGATATTATATCATGCGATCTAATTCGTGGTTGATAAACTAAGGTTCAAGGATAGCAAAGCCAAGGAACCATAACTCGTCAATTTCGTATAGATATAATACTCGCTCCCAGACTCGAGCCATGGCAGAAGAGAATACAGCTAGGTTTGAAAGGGTCGAAAGGGTACAGGAGGAGATACAAGAAAGAGTGATAGAAATACAACAAAGAATTGAAGCACAAATGGTTGAATTAAGACAACTGTTAATTGGATCAATGAAAGGAAAATGAGTCGCTGGTATATCTAGGACAGGAGATGAGATTAATGTGGAAGAGCCATTATACCCTCCTGGATTCACTCCACCTCAAGTTCAGATTCAAGTTCCTCGGGGTATACACATACAACCACCAAGTGCGCAGCCGTACCCCTATGTCAATCATTCTGCAAATCAGCAGCCGACCCACTTGAATGCCAATTCGGGACCCATCCCAGTCGATCCCATCATAGTACCAAATCTTGACGACCCTGTTGAGCAAGAGAAGTCTCACGAAATGTCAGAACCTGTTATAAATTCAAAAATTCAAGACAAATATGACCAGCTTGAAGAGAGGCTTAAAGCGGTTGAAGGTAATGACACTTATGGGGTTATTGACGCCAACGAGCTTAGCCTAGTGCCTGACTTGGTTATCCCACCAAAATTTAAGACCCCAGATTTTGAGAAATACGATAGGACAAAGTGTCCATCTGCTCATATCACTATGTTTTGTAGAAAGATGACGGGTTATACCCATAATGACAAACTATTGATACACTGTTTTCAAGATAGTTTGACTGGTTCAGCAGCTAAATGGTACGTGCAATTAGATCGAAATAAGATCAGTTCATGGAAAAACTTGGCCAAAGTTTTTCTTGCTCAGTATAAGCACGTCTTGGATACAGCCCCTGATAGACTGTCATTACAAAATATGGAGAAAAAGTTGACGGAAACCTTCAAAGAATACGCATATCGGTGGAGAGATGCAGCAGCCCAAGTACAACCACCACTGACTGAAAAAGAGATAACCGTGCTATTCATCAATACATTGAAGGCCCCGTATTATGACAGATTGGTGGGAAATGCCACGAAAAACTTCTCTGACATGGTAATTTCAGGGGAGATGATAGAAAATGCTATCAAAAGTGGTAAAATTGAAGGGTCTGAAAAGAAGATAGCTACATTAAAGAAGAAAGAGCAGGAGACACATGTTGTCACTTACACAAATCCCCCACACCATCCTTTTGTTTCATATAACCCACACCCCCATTACTACTCTACCATAAACCAAATCTCTCAACAACCATACCATTACCGAGCCCCCCAACAATCGTTACCCAGATCAAGTTTTAGCCCTCAACCATCCAATTACACCCCAGCACCTTCAGCTCGACCATTTACTCGACCAACCTACCCAAACAGCAATCAAAGAAACTCACAGAATAATAACAATCGAGAAAGACCTCATTTTGACCCAATTCCCATGACATACACAGATTTGTATCCTCGACTTGTTGAAAAACATTTGCTTGCTCCTGTTATTATTGAACCTTTGAAACCTCCGTTTCCCAAATGGTATGACCCCAATGCACATTGTGATTATCATTATGGGAATCCAGGTCATTCCACTGAGCATTGTATTGCTTTGAAGCATAAAGTGCAGGGGTTAATCAATGAAAGAGTATTAAATTTTGATACCAGCCAACAAGGGACTCCAAATGTCAATGGAAACCCTCTACCAAATCATACCAGACCATCAATAAATGCTTTGATTGATGGGCAAACAAGTTACGTGAAAAGAAGAATAGAAGAGGTCAAAACTCATATGGCTAAAGTGTTTGAAACCTTGGTCAAAGCTGACATGCTGAAGTCGATAGAACCTCAAAATTACTCTGAAGCAGTTAACTCAACTGAAAGCTACCATTATCACAGAGGTGCTCTGGGGCATTCTATTGAAAACTGTCACCAATTCCGTCAAGAGGTGTAAAAATTGATAGATGAAGGTCGAATAGAGTTTTACCAAGAGAGAGAAGAGTTGGTGAAAGTGTCTACCATTGATTCAAAGAATAAGTTTGGGCGTAGACCAGTAACTATCTATTATGATGAGAAGCCAACATTAAAGCTAGAAAAACCCGTCTCTCGACTAGTGGTGACAATTAAAGTTTCTGGCCCTTTTCCATATCAGAATGATAAAGCAGTACCTTGGAAGTACAATTATGATGTCGTAGTCAACCCAGATACTGCCAACATAACGGGTGTAGGAGGCATAACTCGAAGTGGGAGGTGTTATACCCCAGAAGCTCTAGAAAAAGCTAGAAAGGAGAAAGCCAAGGTAGGAGAAAAAAATGAAAGTCAGAGTGATCTTGACACAACCCTAGAAAAAGAATGGCAGAAGCCAGTATCTGAGAGTGAAGCAAGTGAATTTTTAAAGTTAATAAAACATAGCGAGTATAACATGGTAGAACAACTTAACAAGATGCCAGCTAGAATTTCGCTATTGTCATTATTGCTCAGTTCAGAGCCACACCGTAATGCTTTGCTGAAAGTGTTAAATCAAGCATATGTGTCTCACAATACTTCTGTTGAATATGTAGAACAGCTTGTTGGCAACCTGACGATTTCAAACTATATCTCTTTCAGTAATGAAGAGATTCCTCCTGAAGGTAGAGGAAGTACCAGGGCTCTTCACATTACTGTGAAATGTAAAAGTCATATAATGGCTAAGGTTTTGATTGATAATGGCTCATCCATCAATGTTATACCTGCGACTACTCTGGCAAAACTCCCTGTTGATGGATCTTATATGAAACCTAGTCATATGATAGTGAGAGCCTTTGATGAAACCAGAAGAGAAGTGTTGGGAGATATAGAAGTGCCATTGTAGATTGGCCCATGTACTTTCAACGTGAAATTTCAAGTCATGGACATCTCTCCTTCATATAATTGTTTATTAGGTAGACCGTGGATCCATATGGCAGGTGCTGTCCCATCTTCATTACATCAAAAAGTTAAATTTATTGTTGAAGGGAAGCTAACATGTGTGGCAGGAGAAGAAGATTTATTGGTAACTCAACCGATAAATACTCCTTATGTGAAATCGACAGATGAAGCTTTAGAATGCTCTTATAGATCTTTTGAGATTACCAATGCAACATATATAGCTGAAGGATCTAAATTATATTCATCACACTTATCTGCGACTACTAAAATGGTAGTCAAATAGCTTACCAAGATGGGATGGTGACCTGAAGTCGAACTTGGGAAGAACCTGCAAGAAATTACGAAGCCATCGGCCATATATGAAAAGAGAGACAGGTTTGGCTTGGGATAGAAGCCAACAAGAGGGGACAGAGTAAGAATGATGAATGAGAAAAGAGATAAGAGGATAGCTAATCTTAAGGGATATGAGCTGGAGTCAGAGCCGATAGTCATTCCTTACCTTTATGATTCTTTTCACTCGGGAGGATACATTTATTCATATTTACCGAGAGCCCCAAGTGCAGGATTCATGAAAAAATTTTCAGAGCTGGCCATTCAAATGGTGGATGATGGAGAAAAGAAGAGTCGAAGTGAAGAGCTATTCGTGTACCCTTGTCCTTCAGATTTTGAGTTGGATAATTGGAAAGTTACAAAGCTGCCTGTTGCCTTTAAAACTTTGGAAAAGTAATGTGAAACTTAAAATCTCTAATTACTTTCTACGAGTATTAGGAGATCTTTTATGGTGTGTTTATGTTTGTCATTTTAATAAAAGACTTAGAAGATGCATCCGTATTTTTTCTGTCATTTTTATCTTCGTTTTACCTTTCATCCTTTTCTTTCCTACATTTTCTTGCCATTCCATTTTTGTGTGCCAATATTCTCTCCATATTACCCTTTGCAGGGTCTCAAACAATGAACATGAGGATAATCATGGCATTAATCTCGGATTTGATTTTGAAAACTTAATTCATGTTGATGAACTTGATAATGAGGAAGATTCAGATAACTATACACTGCCTCTTGATTTGTTAAAATTAATAGAACATGAAGATAAGCCAATTGAACCCCACCAAGAAATTACTGAATCAGTAAATTTGGGAGATGGTGAGAATAAAAGAGAGGTCAAAGTTGGTACATCTCTTTTACCAGCTGAAAGACAGAAGCTAGAAGAGCTGCTACGAGAATATGTAGATGTGTTCGCATGGACTTACCAGGATATGCCAGGACTCAGCACTGATATTGTAGAGCACAAGTTACCTTTAAAACCAGGATGTAAGCCGATGCAGCAAAAGCTAAGGCGCATGAAACCAGAGATGCTGCTGAAAATTAAAGAGGAAGTGAAGAAACAATTCGATGCTGGATTTTTAGAAGTGGCAAAATATCCTGAATGGGTAGCCAACATAGTGCCAGTTCCTAAGAAGGATGGAAAAGTGAGAATGTGTGTTGATTATCGAGATTTGAATAGAGCAAGCCCTAAGGATAACTTTCCTTTACCTCACATCGATACTCTAGTGGATAATACTGCTAGGCACTCCACATTTTCCTTTATGGATGGTTTCTCAGGCTATAATCAGATCAAGATGGCTCGAGATGATATGGAGAAAACTACATTTGTGACCATGTGGGGAACATTCTGTTACAAAGTCATGCCTTTTGGGTTGAAAAATGCTGGTGCTACTTATCAAAGAGCAATGGTGACTCTTTTTCATGACATGATGCATAAAGAGATAGAAGTGTATGTAGATGATATGATTGCAAAATCTCGTGAAGGAAAGGATCATATAGTCAGTCTCAAAAAGCTGTTCGACAGGTTGAGAAGATTTCAGTTGAAGTTGAATCCTGCCAAATGTACATTTGGAGCCAAATCAGGAAAACTATTGGGCTTTGTAGTCAGTGAAAAAGGAATTGAAGTTGATCCAGATAAGATACAAGCCATTCAAAACTTATCTCCTCCTCATACCTCAAAAGAAGTGCGAGGCTTCTTAGGGAGATTAAATTATATTGCTCGCTTCATCTCTCAACTCACTTATAAGTGTGATCCTATTTTCAAGCTTCTCAAAAACATGATCCTGGAGAATGGAATGATGAATGCCAAGAAGCTTTTGATAAGATCAAAGAATACTTGTCAAATCCACCTGTGTTGGTGCCACCAATGCCAGGAAAACCTTTGATTTTGTACTTGACAGTGCATGAAAATTCAATGGGATGTGTGCTGGGGCAAAGAGATGAAACTGATAAGAAAGAACGAGCAATTTACTACTTGAGCAAGAAGTTCACTGATTATGAGTCAAAGTATTCACCATTAGAGAAGATGTGTTGTGCATTAACCTGGACAGCTCGAAGGCTTAGACAATACATGCTTTATCACACTACTTGGCTCATAGCAAAGCTGGATCCTATTAAGTATATCTTCGAAAAGCCCTCATTGACAGGAAGAATAGCACGGTGGCAAGTTATGCTTTCAGAATATGATATCATTTACGTGACTCAAAAAGCTATTAAAGGGAGTGCAATAGCTGAATTCCTTGCTGATCGTGCAGTCGAAGATTATGAGCCAATGAAATTAGATTTTCTTGATGAGGATGTGATGGCCATTGAAGAAAATGAACCTGTTGAAAAATCATGGAGGATGTATTTTGATGGAGCTGCTAATGCTTTGGGTCATGGTATTGGGGCAATTTTGATATCTCCTGATGGACATTATTACCCCATCACAGCCAGATTAAATTTTAATTGCACAAACAATGTGGCTGAATATGAGGCCTGTGTTATGGGTTTATAAGCAGCAATTGAAAAGAAGATCAAAGTGTTAGATGTGTTTAGAGATTCAGCTTTAGTCATCTATCAGTTACGAGGTGAATGGGAAACAAGAGACTCTAAGTTGATTCGATACCATAAATACATCTCTGAGTTGGTCAAGCAATTTAAAGAAGTTCAGTTTGAGCATCTACCTAGAGAGGAAAACCAAATTGCTGATGCACTGGCTACTCTAGCTGCAATGATCAAAATAGATGCAAATACTGAAATCCAACCCATTAAGCTGGATGTGAAAGATGTACCAGCACATTGCTCAGATGTTGAAAAAGAAATTGATGGAAGGCCATGGTATCATGATATCATGCAATACATTAAAAGCCAGCAATACCCAGAACATGCAACTGAAAATGATAAGAGGACTATTAGAAGATTGGCTATGAATTTCTTCATTGACGGAGATATCCTTTACAAAAGAGGTCGAGATCAAGTGCTCTTAAGATGTGTAAATGCAGCTGAAGCAAAGAAGATTATTGAAGAAGTGCATGATGGAGTTTGTGGGGCACATGCAAATGGTCATATGATGGCTAGACAAATTATGAGGGCTGGCTATTATTGGTTGACAATGGAGAGTGACTGTATTGATTATGCTAGGAGATGTCATAAATGTCAGATTTATGCTGACAAGATTCATGCTCCACCATCAACATTACATGTTTTAGCTCCTCCCTGGCCATTCTCAATGTGGGGCATGGATGTCATTGGTCCCATCACTCCAAAAGCTTCGAATGGGCATAGATTCATTTTTGTGATGATTGATTACTTCACCAAATGGGTAGAGGCTGCATCATATGCTAGCGTGACCCGATCTGTGGTATGTAAGTTCATGAAAAGAGAGATAATATGCAGATATGGGCTTCCGGAGACAATTATTTCTGATAATGCCAAAAACTTGAACAACAAAATGATGAATGAAGTATGCACTCAGTTCAAGATCCACCATCGTAATTCGACACCATATCGTCCAAAAATGAATGGGGCAGTGGAGGCTGCGAATAAGAATATCAAGAGAATCCTGGAGAAAATGACTGAAACTTACAAAGATTGGCATGAGAAGTTATCTTTTGCCTTACATGCTTATAGAACATCAGTCAGAACGTCTACTGGAGACACACCGTTCTCTTTGGTATATGGTATGGAAGCTGTGCTACCAGTCGAAGTGGAAATTCCCTCACTGAGAGTCCTGATGGAGGTGGAGTTAGAGGAAGCAGAATGGGTCCGAAATCGCTACGAGCAGTTAAACCTTATTGAAGAGAAAAGACTGTCAGCACTTTGTCATGGTCAATTATATCAAAAGAGGATGATGAGAGCACATGACAAGAAAACTCGTCCCCGTTGCTTTAGGGAAGGAGACTTAGTGCTAAAAAGATTTCTTCCAAATCAACATGATAATCGGGAGAAATGGACACCAAATTGGGAAGGCCCGTATGTGGTGAAAAAGGCTTTTTCTGGCGGGGCATTGATTTTGGCAGAAATGGACGGAGGTGATTTGCCTACCCCAATAAATTCAGATGTTGTGAAGAAATATTTTGCTTAAAAAAAAAAAAAAGAAAAAAATGATGACTTATCTAAGTTGAAAACCTGAAAAGGCGGCTTAGATGTGAAGCAAAAGCATCATCAAGAAAAGATCTCACAATGCAGGGGCAAGTGTAGTTTGATGAACTCTGAATAATCAAGGAAGTCATCTGATTTAGTTTTAGAGAAAGAATCTGAGAATATTTTGTTCATGATTATCTTGTGATCATTCTTTTGACACCTTTATTTCAATTCAAACACTTTGACATACACTTGTTATCAGCCATAAGAAATACATTATCCTTCATTTGAAATAATGCCTATCCTTTCCTTTATCCTTATTTGATATTTTTTGTCCATCAGAGAAATGTGTGATTGCATTTTATTTGTCTTGAACTTAAAATGATGAAAAGAAAAACAAACATGAAAGATCTCAGCATTACTTTTAAAGTTGACAAAGGCAAATGAAAAAGGATGAGAAAAGCATGACAAGACATTGATGTTGCAGACTTTTGAAGAAAAAATATTGTGGTCAGATGTTGAAGACAGATTGGTCATATAAGAATTTGGATAAAAGAAGCTGAAAGCGAGAGATTTTGAGAACCTTTTTACTACAATGAACGATTTTGATTGCATTACATGCATTGCATCATGAGCACTCAGTACATGCATCCATGAGAAGTTGTAACAAAGATAGAAATTTTCCTTTTCTTAATGAAAAAAACAAGATTTTGGTAAAGACAATGATCAAACAAAGGAATTCAAAAGAGAGGAATTTACTTGTTCAAAGATGAAAACTCAAATTTGAAAACAAATGAGATTTTTAAAGTTGTTGAGCCTCTGTTGAGAGGAGCTTTTTCAAGAAAGAATTTTAAAGTTGTGAGCCTCTGTTGAGAGGAGCTTTTTCAAGAAAGAATTTTAAAGTTGTTGGAGCCTCTGTTGAGAGGAGCTTTTTCAAGAAAGAATTTTAAAGTTGTGGAGCCTCTGTTGAGAGGAGCTTTTTCAAATGAATTTTAAAGTTGTGGAGCCTCTGTTGAGAGGAGCTTTTTCAAGAAGAATTTTAAAGTTGTGGAGCCTCTGTTGAGAGGAGCTTTTTCAAGAAGAAATTTTAAAGTTGTTGAGCCTCTGTTGAGAGGAGCTTTTTCAAGAAAGAATTTTAAAGTTGTGAGCCTCTGTTGAGAGGAGCTTTTCAAGATGAAGATTTTAAAGTTGTGAGCCTCTGTTGAGAGGAGCTTTTCAAAAAGAATTTTAAAGTTGTGAGCCTCTGTTGAGAGGAGCTTTTTCAAGAAAGAATTTTAAAGTTGTGAGCCTCTGTTGAGAGGAGCTTTTCAGAGAAATTTTAAAGTTGTGGAGCCTCTGTTGAGAGGAGCTTTTTCAAATGAGAATTTTAAAGTTGTAGAGCCTCTGTTGAGAGGAGCTTTTTCAAGAAAGAAATTTTAAAGTTGTTGAGCCTCTGCTGAGAGGAGCTTTTCCGAAATAAAATTTTAAAGTTTGGAACCTCTGTTGAGAGGAGCTTTTTCAAGAAGAAATTTTAAAGTTGTTGAGCCTCTGCTAAGAGGAGCCCTTTTCTGTAAAACCAAAAAAATAACACGATTTATTTTCGGACAAAATCGTTGTCTTTGTCTTTGCCCTATTCCTGATTCTCAGAAACGTGCAAAGAGGGGCAGCTGTAGACATCGATTTTGTCCGGGTCTACTATTTTATTTTTTTTATAATAATAATAATATTTAACAAAACAAAACAAAAAAGAAAAAAACAAAACAGAAAAAACAAAACAAGTAAACAAACAAAAAAAAAAAGAAGTCAAGGAGTTGGTGCGATGCCGAGCTACCTCGACCAACTCCTTGACCAGCTCCTTATCAGCAACCCAACCAGCCCTCCCGACCAGCTTCCTGCCAGCCACCCTACAGCTACCAACTAACCACCCTACAGCCAGCAAAATCCCACTTAATTGAAACTCTATAAAATCAACACATAAACCCAAAAAAAAAAAGGAGAAAACGAAAAAATTTTTCAGGTGAGAGTTCTGAAACAAAAAAAATTTTTCCAGCTTGAGAGTTCAGGAACGAAAAATTTCGATCTACCCACCCAAACACCCAAAATACCCAAACACAAAAACCAACCGAAAACAACCACAAACAGAACCGCCACAAAAAAAACCAAAACAGAAACAAAAAAAAAAAAATACACAGTCCTCGCCTACGGCGAGGAACCTCAGCGCCAAGCTTCCTGCACGAAGAAGAGAAAGAAAGGTCAGCTTCAAAAAAAAAAAAAGAAAGAACGCAAAAAAAAAATTTTTTTTGTGGCCGAAACTTTGAAGACAGATCTAGGAATTTTGAGACTCCTTTTGGTGAAAAGGAGGTCAGATCTACGCTCAGGGGGTCGAGAAGAGCTTGTGGGAGAATTTTAGAATTTTTCGACCACCGGAGACGGCGGCCGGAGACCGGCGGTGACGACGGACGGCGGCGGCACCAACGGTTGACCGGCGATCTGCTGAAGAAGAAGAAAAAAAAGTTTTTTTTTCTGGAAAAATGAAAAACTGACCAAAAAAAAAATTTGAGCCTTTTATATAAACTGCCAAAATCAAAACGACGTCGTTTCATTAAAGGCCCAAAACGACGTCGTTTTAAGCCCGAAGATCCGCGCGTCAACCCGCGACCCGACCCGGGGTCCGCGCGCCAGACCCGCGACCCGCTTCCTTCATCCGCTCTGCCCGGTCTGACTGGACCGGACCGAACCGCCAGACAAAACCGAACCGGTACTGAACCGCCGAACCAACCAGACCGAATCGAACCGCCGATCCAACCGCCGAACCGGTCAGACCGCCCGGACCAGCGTTGACCGGACCGTTGACCGGTCCGGTTTAGGTAAAAAAAATTTTTTTTTTAATTTTCTAATTTTTTTATTATTATTATTTTTTGTTATTTTAAATATATTTTTATATTTATGCATGATAAATTTATAAATTTGTTAGAATAAATGTTTAATCGTTTTAATAATAATAAAATTAAAAACAAATAATAATTAAAATATATTAAAATGCTTTAAAATAATAATAATAATTTTCCCTGCCTAGATGTTGGAGGGAATAAAAATATTTTTCTAAAACAATAATTCTGCCTAGATGTTGGGGAATTATTGTTAATAATAAATAAACATAAGAAATTTTTAATTAATTTTCAAAAATTATTAAAATCGAACTTGCTTCAAAAATCCGCCTAGATGTTGGGGATTTTTAGAGATGTTCGTATTTTCTTAAAAAACGAAACCTTAAGCGCTATTTCTTAATCCTAGGTTTCTAAAACCCTTAAAAATCCAAAATCCATTAAATCCAAAACCGCTCGAAATCCAAAATCCTTGAAGTCCAAAGTCCGAAAAATCCTAAGGACACGTGTGAAAATTCTATTGGAAGCAATTTGTTCCCGAATGCCGCCTAGATGATGGGGTATTTAGGAAATTTTACTTCATTAAGTCTTTTCACACGAGTTCATAATTCATATTAATAATAAGATTAATAAATAAAAAGTATAATAAAATTGGGATTTTAAATATAAACAGTCGCACCTAAGCTCTGCCTAGATGTTGGAGAGTCGGGGTGGTCTCATTATATTTAAGAATCCAACTCTTAAATTGCATTTTATTAATAATAAGATTAATAAATAAAAAGTATAATAAAATTGGGATCTTAAATATAAACAGTCGCACCTAAGCTCTGCCTAGATGTTGGAGAGTCGGGGTGGTCTCATTATATTTAAGAATCCAACTCTTAAATTGCATTTCATTTTACATGACATTCATTAGCATACATACGTTATCGTATTATCATCAATAATTGTCTGCATTATTCTCTCTTTAATTTACTCATGGTACTCTGCCTAGATGTTGGAGAGTCACCAACAATTTTCTGTAAAGAGTGTTATTTCATTTTAAGGATTGTTGTGTTAAATCTTAAGCGAAAAGAGTTACTTTAAATTCTGCCTAGATGTTGGAGAATTTTAAAATAATTCTTAACTTAAAGATTTTCTCAATATTCCTAAATAAAAATTTTAGCAAAAAAAAAATATTTTTTTAAATGAAGGAAATTAATGTTAAATTTCAAACTAAAACCATTTTTATCCGACATTGAAAATAGCGCATAGTTGAATGGTACCAATTTATGGACGTTGTGGGGGTGCTAATCCTTCCCCACGTATAACCGACTCCCGGACCCAACCTGATTTTTCGTAGACCGAAATATATCTTTTTGATAAACTTTAAACCCGTTTTTATAGTTTTATTAAAAAGATAAACTTTTGGGTGGTCAATCATACCCTAATAAAGATTGGTGGCGACTCCCTCGTTTTTATTTTTCTCAATTTTAAAACAATTCGTTTTTACGTCTGACGGTCTCAAAACCGTTACGACAGTACCGGTCTACATTGGAGCACAAGTAATGGCATCATTATGTGCTGCATTTGCACTGAAAGGAGTATTTCATCCAATGATGGGAGGAGTGACAGTTCCTTCAGGGGGATTTGATCAAGCTTTTGCTTTGGAGTTCATTATTAGCTTCAATCTCATGTTTGTTGTCACTGCTGTTGCCACCGACACAAGAGCTGTATGTCGTCTTTTTCATTTACATTTTTTCACGTGTGAAAACAGCCAATCAATGGGAGGAGGACAAACAGGAAAAAAAAAGAAAGAATAAACAATTAAAACACTTTTAATGCACAACCAGCTTTAACATGCAACTGACTCAGATAAGATCCATACTGAAAAAAACATTTCAATCAATAATTTTTTTCATTTAGAAACTGTGTGATTCAGATCATTTATATATAAAAATGATTTGTTCATCTATTGATACATCTAACTTTTGCAATGCATAAAAGGTAATAATTTTTCTTTGACTGCCCTTTTGACTGTGTATCATTATTATCTTTGAGATTTTCTTGTTCTTCTTTTATGGAAAATTTATAGGCTTCTAAAAAGTAAGTTGATTTTATATCAATTCAAAAGGAATTTACTTTCACCTGCTCTTGACTCACCAAACTTCCATTCATGAGATAGAATTATACTATGGGCAGGCATCAATATTCAGTAAATATGATGGTAGAAAGAATTTCTCTATGCAAATTTGAGTAGAAAACAGTGTAAATTGATGTTAAGGAAGATGCATATGAAATCTTGTAAGTGAGGGATGATACTCTGCAGGTGGGAGAGTTGGCCGGAATCGCAGTTGGAGCTACTGTCATGCTCAATATACTCATAGCAGGGTATGTTACTGAAATTTCTCCAGCAATTTTGAAATAATCTAGGAAATATTTTAATCAGATGCTTCAAGGCATCTCAGTGAAACATTTAGTGGTGTGATTTTTCATTCCAAGTGCAAGAAACAAATAGCTGTTGCTAGATATTGAAGGGCTCAGTTTGAGAGATCTTTGGTTATAGATGCCACTATTGTAGCTGCAATTATATGATGTAGAGCTTTGATTTTAGATAGGCATCAGAAATTACAACTTTGAATCTGCAACATGATACTGATTTCTTAGCAGAATGCATTCATTTCATTTTCATACACAAACACGAAGAGAGAGAGCTGTTCGAATATATAAAGATAAAGTCAAACCATGTTACCAAAGACAACTCAGTGCCCATAATTATGAAACACAGATACAATGATCCAAGTTCCAAGTCCAACCCTTCTTTCTTCGTTTTCGTCTATGTTTAAAGAATCTATTAATTAAGGGCAACATTTTGTTAAAAAAAAAAAATACAGTTAAGAAAAAAAGAAATCGTGGGAGGATCATAATTGGAGCTTGAAAATTTTCTACAATAACTTCAACCGTTAAAACGCTCAACAAAAAGAACCCTTCCACTTCTCTTTACGCAGCCTTACCAAATTGAGAATGTAATGCTCCCAATGCTAAGCACCCGATGAATTCCAGGAGAATGGCCCTCAGAAATCCCTTCTTTTTTTCTGTGGAACAGACCATTTACAGGTGTTTCGATGAATCCGGTACGAACATTAGGACCAGCCATAGCAGCAAATAACTACAAAGCTATATGGGTCTACTTCACTGCTCCCATCTTGGGGGCACTCTGTGGTGCAGGAACATATACTGCTGTCAAGCTGCCTGATGAAGATGGAGAAAAGCTGTCAACTGCTAGGAGCTTCAGGAGGTAATTAACATCCATCAACGACCTGCATTATCAGAACTTTATGAGGAGACATTGCAGATGACCCCCAGGGGGGGGGGGGGGGTTTCATATTTGATACATTAGCATTTGGATATAAATAAGCGAACTGTGTATCAACCATATATATGTATAACAGCATAGTCAAGCTATAGATGTTCCTGAAAAAAGGGAAAAAGAATGTAGGAGAAATTGGGTGTTGAATTTCATTTGCAAGTGTATATTGTTTAGTTGGGTGAAAAAATGGTAAACGAATAAAATTAGGAGGAAGAAACAGGATTTGTTTTAAGGCTTCCAAAAATTGTTCTCTTGGGGCAAATGTCCTGGAAAAAAGCTTATTGTGTAGATTTTATTTCTCTGTCTCGTGTTTTTTCCCCCTCTTTTCTCCCCCCCCACCCTGCAAAGGTTACTTAAAATATTAAAATTTTATATATTTGTATCATAATTTACGTAAAAATTTCGTGTTATAATTTATATAAATATGAAAATATAAAATATATTTTTTATTTTATTAAATTTATATATAATTATTATTAAAATTTTTAATCATATTATTTTTATATTTTATTTTTATATTATGTTTATATCATATCATAATATTGTATTTTAATTTATCAAATTTAAATAAAAACAAAAGGTGTGACAACGTGGGCAAGTATGGCATCGACCTCAAGAATCTTCATGCAGTACTACAATTTCAGCGTGCGAGACAAAATGATGAACAATGACACTTCTAGTTTGCTCCACGAATTTAGTTTCTTGTCAACCACATCGTCCCCATTCTTTTCTCTTATTTATTCCCCTTTTTATTCCTTTTTTTTTCTTTGATTGAATCCAGATGCCACAGCACTTTGATCCTTTCCAAATAGAGATTTCTCGATAAAATTTTAAACATCCTTCTCTTTTTCAAAAGTTTTTTTTTTTTCTTACAAAATCCCATAAATTGATAAGAAAATAACGAAAATTACCTCAATCACTATTATTGATGCTTCTAAAGCATATATCTGATTATATATTTACCAAAGGTATAATGTCCCTTGGTACGAGGCTCGTGTCACTAAAAATGACACCCAATAGAACAAAAAGAAGCAGAATCTCTTGACCAGAAAAGGGACCAAGAAAAGAGATAAAAAAGGAGGGACTAGGCTAAGAAAGCCATGGACATTCACAAGAACAAAAGAGAATTTATGCCACCTATTCATATTCTTCATCAAACTCTTCAGTTTTTAGGGTCTTTTCTTATGGTTCCTCATATGATTTGATGTTCCACTTTGTCTGTAATATAATTAATTATGTTGTTCAGACATTTTCTTCATCATTCTTTTTCTTTGCTATCCCTGCCATACAAACCATTCCTATGGTTCCCCATGCTGCCATGTATGGCCTTTGCCCAACCCTTTATCAATCACTTCCATTTCTATATCATTGAAGACTTGTTGCAATTCTATCCTTTTCTCTTTTTTTTTGCTAAATCAGAATGAATTCATTTATCAGGGTAAGAATTGCAATTCAGAATGAATTCTATCCCATCTACCAAGCCCTTTATTTTTTAAAGCAATATACCCATTTCCTCTCATAAATTTCAAATATTTATTTTCTATCAATTTATCAATCCATAAAATTATAAACGAACTGTTTAACAAAAAATTCATGAATATATTCAATTTTTATTTTTTTACTTATTATTAAATTTAACAAATAATTATAAATAATATTTTAAAATTTGTTAATTAAACATAACAGATTAAAAATATAGCAAATTTCATTCATATTTGATTCATTTATACTTCTATCAACCTCTAAAAGTCTACAATTTCTTGTTTCCTGTTCATGAGTTCAATTTGAGTTAATCAAGTTGATATGTAAATAAGGAAAACATAGAAATTCAATGAACCATCGCAATCGAAAAGCCAAAATAAAAAAAAATTTATAGTCACATCCATATCCAGAAAATGAAATAAAAGGAAATGCAAAAGAATGGTGCTTAATGCTTTGTCTTTGATACTCCATGTTCACTGCTCAGAGATATGGGAAATTCCATATACAGTTTCCTTTTACATCTTAACCTTCAAATTAAACACCAGCCCTAGCTTTCATACTTAGAAATTAAAAAAAAAAAAAAAGGGTCTTTGCCAATTTTTCTGACCGCCCAAAAAATACAGCTGATCAGCTGATCTGATTGATCTTTTACTGTGAAGAACATATTCCAATGTCATAACATGCATGTATGGTTAATATTTCTCAAAAGATTAACCTTCAATATTTCTCTGCATTTTATTCCCCCTTATTTTCTGAAAAGAAGTAACAAAAAACAGCCTTTGAATTTCTGAAAGCTGTTGTGATATGAAACAAATTCAAAAGAAATTGTTCTTTTTTTTTTGGTGAAAATGTGCTTTAATTTTTTTTCCTGAATCTTTTTATTTAAATTTGGTTTTTGTTAATATTTATTCGAAACCGACTAGTAAAAATTGCCGAAGCTTCAATGGAAAGTAGATTGGCTTCAGAATTTGATATAGTTTTGATGGGGATGTACTTCAAAAAAAAATCCACCAAAGCTGAGTTGAGTATTTTAATTGTCCATTTTCAGAGATTCACCGTATCAGCTACTTGATATTTTATATTAGTAAGTTAATGGTATTTTAGTAATATGCTCTTGTTCAAAATAAATTTGATAATTTTAAATATGATACCATGAGATAATATGAAAATAATATATATAAAAAATAATATAGTTTAAAATTTTAATAAAAATTATATGTATTTGACAAAAACAAAAAAAATATATATGTTTTATGTTTGATGTGGGGACACAAATATTCATGCATGAACCTACTTAATTTAGCAGCTATTATTGTTGTTAATTATCAGTAAAACCAAATCAGGCTGATTAAAATTATGAAAGTGCGTGATCAAAAAGAGTTGGCAAAGGGCTAGGAGATGCAATGCATTGGAGAGTTCAGTTTTCATTTCATTTTTCACCAGATCAGTACATTATTTAATTTGTCCATCAGCTCTGACAACATAGTATTGATTGATGAATTATTGTACTCTCAAATTAAATTTGATCTTCGAAAAGAATAGTGCATGCCAGTAATTTACCTGTACTATGATTGCCATGTCTGTCTTTCTTCCCAAGCAGACACCAAAGTGAGAAGCTAACTATAGTTGTCCATTCCATTCCATAATTGAGGAAGGCATTGGAGAATAAAAAAACCTGATAAGTGGGATAGACAGGAAATTCCTTATTCATGTTTCATGTTAAAAGCCTCTTTCCAACTGTATCAGTTACTGCAACACTTCTTCAATGTCCCACCCTCCACTACTTTCAGAGCTATACCTTCTTTTCCCATCTCACTGTCTCAACCACTTAGTTCTTTCTTTCTCTTATCTCTTGGGATTGACTAAGTCAACTCATTTTTTTACTATAAATAGCAGACATTAAGCTCATCAGTAACATCCAAAACATAGAGACTCTCTTCTCTTCTCTTACTACATTTATTATTAGTTTACATTTGTTTTTTTCGAGTTTGTTTGGGATATAAGTGATATAAATGGAGAATGAGGATGTTCCATCAGCTCCTTCAACCCCTGCAACACCAGGGACTCCTGGTGCTCCACTCTTTGGGGTCAGGGGAGATCAGAGAGGTGTGATTAGTAGAAAATCTCTTCTCAAGAGCTGCAAATGCTTCAGTGTGGAAGAATGGTCCATGGAAGAAGGGAGATTACCCCCTGTCTCTTGCTTATTGCCACCTCCTCCAGTCTCACTCACAAGAAAGGTACGAAAAAAGACACAAAAATAACAAGAGATCTTTAAGTTATTGTGCTTTTGTTTATGGTTTAGTCAAACAGATAAGTGAAAAATATTCAACTAAGAGATTTTCAAAGGTGACCCAATTTTCCATTTGTGTTGAAAAACCAGGTGGGCGCCGAGTTCATAGGCACACTCATACTAATCTTTGCTGCGACAGCCACAGCCATTGTGAACCAAAAGACACAAGGCTCTGAAACTCTTATTGGCCTAGCAGCCTCCACTGGCCTTGCCGTCATGATTGTTATAGTCTCTACTGGTCACATCTCAGGTGCGCATCTCAACCCAGCCATCACCATTGCCTTTGCTGCACTCAAACACTTCCCCTGGAAACATGTACAACTAAACCTACAGCTTTTCCTTTGCTATTTTTTTAAGTTTTTATGAAAACTTATATTGTATCCTTTAAATAACATTTTGACTTTTAATTTTTGGGCAGGTACCAGTCTACATTGGAGCACAAGTAATGGCATCATTATGTGCTGCATTTGCACTGAAAGGAGTATTTCATCCAATGATGGTTGGAGGAGTGACAGTTCCTTCAGGGGGATTTGGTCAAGCTTTTGCTTTGGAGTTCATTATTAGCTTCAATCTCATGTTTGTTGTCACTGCTTTTGCCACCGACACAAGAGCTGTATGAAGTCTTTTTCATGTACCTTTTTTCATATGTGAAAAGAGCCGATCAAAGGGAGGAGGAAAAACAGGAAAAAAAAAAAAACCACAATAAACAATTAAAACACTTTTAATGCACAACCAGCTTCAACATGCAACTCACTCAGAAAAGATCCATACTGAAAAAAACATTTCAATCAATAATTTTTTTTTCATTTAGAAACTATGTATGATTCAGATCATTTATATATATAAATGATTTGTTCATCTATTGATACATCTAACTTTTGCAATGCATAAAAGGTAATAATTTTTCTTTTACTTTCCTTTTGACTGTGTATCATTATTATCTCTGAGATTTTCTTGTTCTTCTTTCATGGAAAATTTATCTGTTCAATAATAGTTATAGGCTTCTAAAAAGTCCGTTGATTTTATATCAATTCAAAGGGAATTGACTTTCACCTGCTCTTGACTCACCGAACTTCCATTCATGAGACAGAGTTATACTATAGGCAGGCATCAATATTCGGTAAATATGATGGTAGAAAGAATTTCTCTATGCAAATTTGAGTAGAAAACAGTGTAAGTTGATGTTAAGGAAGATGCATATGAAATCTTGTAATGTGAGGGATGACACTTTGCAGGTGGGAGAGTTGGCCGGAATCGCAGTTGGAGCTACTGTCATGCTCAATATACTCATAGCAGGGTAAGTTACTGAAATTTCTCCAGCAATTTTGAAATAATCTAGGAAATATTTTAATCAGATGCTTCAAGGCATCTCAGTGAAACATTTACTGGTATGATTTTTCATTCCAAGTACAAGAAACAAATAGCTGTTGCTAGATATTGAAGGGCTCAGTTTGAGAGATCTTTGGTTATAGAGGGCACTATTGTTAGCTGCCATTATATGATGTAGAGCTTTGATTGTAGATAGGCATCAGAAATTACAACTTTGAATCTGCAACATGATACTGATTTCTTAGCAGAATGAATTCATTTTCATTTTCATGCACAAACATGAAGAGAAAGAGCTGTTCGAATATATAAAGATAAAGTCAAACCATGTTACCAAAGACAACTTAGTGCCCACAATTATGAAACACACATACAATGATCCAAGTTCCAAGTCCAACCCTCCTTTCATCGTTTTCTTCTATCTTTAAAGAATCTATTAATTAAGGGCAACATTTTGTTAAAAAAAAAAATACAGTTAAGAAAAAGGAAATGGTGGGAGGATCATAATTGGAGCTTTAAAAATTTCTACAATAACTTCAACCGTTAATACGCTCAACAAAAAGAACCCTTCCTCTTCTCTTTACGCAGCCTTACCAAATTGAGAATGTAATGCTCCCAATGCTAAGCACCTGATGAATTCCATGAGAATGATCCTCAGAAATCCCTTCTTTTGTTCTGTGGAACAGACCATTTACAGGTGCTTCGATGAATCCGGTACGAACATTAGGACCAGCCATAGCTGCAAATAACTACAAAGCTATATGGGTCTACTTCACTGCTCCCATCTTGGGGGCACTCTGTGGTGCAGGAACATATACTGCTGTCAAGCTGCCTGATGAAGATGGTGAAAAGCTGTCAACTTCTAGGAGCTTCAGGAGGTAATTAACATCCATCAACGACCTGCATTATCAGAACTTTATGAGGAGACATTGCAGATGACCCCCGGGGCGGTGGGGGGGGGGGGGGTTTCATAATTGTGATACATTAGCATTTGGATATAAATAAGCGAACTGTGTATCAACCATATATATGTATAACAGAATGGTCAAGCTACAGATGTTCCTGAAAAAAGGGAAAAAGAATGTAGGAGAAATTGGGTGTGACTTTCGTTTGCAAGTGTATATTGTTTGGCTGGGTGAAAAAATAGTAAGCAAATAAATTTAGGAGGAAGAAACGGATGTGTTTTAAAGCTTCCAAAAATTGTTCTCTTGGGGCAAATGTCCTGGAAAAAAGTTTATTGTATAGATTTTATCTCTCTGGCTTGTGTTTTCCCCCTCTTTTCTCCCCCTTTAAAGGTCATGTAAAAACCAGAGGATTGAAAAATGGAGATTGCATCTTTCACTGTATTTTCTTCCAACCGCTCAAGACTCTTTATGAGGAGTTTGAGTAGGGAGGATTAAAAGTTATGAAACCTCGTTTTTAGAGGTGGAGAGTAGATACTAACAAGTTATTGCCTTGGCCATACGGTGCTTGTAACAAAATCTATGAGCAAAAGCAAAATACCTAACTGCAAACGGGAAATTTGAAGATTAGCAAAGATGGAAGCAGAAAGAGGTACAACGCAATTTCTTCGGAGTGAAAACTATCAAGCCGTAACCAAAGGGCAGCAAAGTCACTACTGAAACCAAGATGTATTACAAGAAAAGACAAATCTCAAAGATAGAACTCATGCAACATGGAGCCAAGCTTTGCTAAGCTGAACATTAAGCACCAGAAGATTTTGAGAGAAAAAACCAGAAACGAAATATATGTCAATTCAAAGGGGAGCAAAGCTAGGAATTTCTTATCCTGAGAGTTGACTGAAAACTATCCATTGTGACTCAATGGGGAGCTAAGCATGCAATCAAAGTGATGATAAAAAATATCTATCATATATATATATATATATATACCGAGATGTAATGGGTTTCAGTATGTTTCATTCACAAAAATGGACAAGAATTCAAAGGAACAAAGGTCGCTTTCTTGTGTACCCACATACATGTAATTCAACCTTCTGCAGCATTCCTATTACACCCTCAGTTGCCTTCACAAAGATACCACTGAAAGCTCTCTCCTTAATAATATAGGTTGTAAAGGATCTTCCTAGTTTTTGGATGCATGACATTTTTGCTGCAAAGATATTGAATGACATCAGTAGAAAATGCACTCTACCCCTGTATGCAGATAATAAAAAGTAACTTTTTGATCTTGGTTTTGGTATCACTGACTTCAGTGTATTGTCCAATCCCAAGGTCCCAAAAAATAGATTATGGCAATTCGATTTCCCCTCTTTGACAGTGGCATATGGTAATATAATGGACTTCATTTCAAGAATATATATAGAAAATCAGCAACCATGCACAAAAACATTCAAGGATAATCTAGGAATACAATTTTGTTATTTCAACAACACAATTTGCATCAAAACATGTATGACAACTGAAAGACATACCCACCCTTCTTCACTAACCTGCTCCAACTTATTCAGCCCAGAATTATTAACTCTTGCTTAATAAAAACCATTGGGTTTACAGATAGGTAGACTAATAAACTATTTTTAAAATTATTTTCTCTAGTCTAAAGCCTAAACTATTTTTTTTCCATTTTTATCAATTGACTTACTGTTTAAATATACAAAATCTATTTTTTTTTAAAAAAAAATTAAATAGAAAAATCTGAAGAATAAAAAGCTGGTGTCATAAAATTTTTGAAGTCATAAACTTTGGTTTGATTTATTGATGTACTCCAAAAAGTTCATTAGTATTATTTTTTTTCTTATTAATGTCATGAATGACTTATAAATTATAGTTAAATATTCATTATAATATCTAAATTTAAAAATTTTTTAATATACTAATTGAATTGTAATTTTATTAATTAATATAATACTTAAATAAAAATTTATCCGTCATTTTAAGAGTGAATATTATCTTAATTAATAAATTTATAATTCAAATATTACATTAATAATTAATTGACCAAAAAAATACCACATTAAAATTTTAAAGTTTAGATATTATATTTAAAATTCAATATAATTTAGGATCAGTCATTACATTAATCATTTTCTAACTTGATTCGTGTACAATCCTGTGTTGCAGTGATAGGGTACATTTTGAAAATAAAGAAATTTGAAAGGGTATTTAAGTTACAAAAGTACAACCTTTAGGAAAGCAGCTGATTATTCCATAGTTAAGACTCATTAAGTATTACGCAGGTCCAAATTGCCGTTGGAAAGCAGACGACCTGTCTCCGTCTCCAAACAACCCCTTAAAAAAATCCCGCCCTGTTTAAAACGAAACGTTGTAATGCTTCTTTCTTTTATTGTACTATCAGACAAAAAAGGTCGAAACAATCATAAATAAAAAAAAAATCTTCAAAAAATTAAACAAGTTACGTAAAAATAATCAAAAGAAGAAGAAGAAGAAAAATAATTAGTTAAGAATCGATCTGCGATTTCCGATGGACGTGCCGAGCTCATGGGATGTTTTGCTGATTTTCTTTTTCTCTTGCGTCCCCTTTGTTTTTGTTTAGCTCTGTCTGGTTAACGAGAAAAATCTGAGGAAATTTGGAGTAAAAAAAGACCTGGGATTTTATAATTCTATCAGACTTCATTGAATTCCGTTTGAAATTTTGAGGAAGTTTTGGTTTTTTTGTTTGAATTCAGTTTTTGGGTTGTTAGAAATAAGTTATGAAACGATATTTGCTGGGATTTTTTTTAAATCTGCTATTGACTAAAGTGTCTAAATTTCTTTAGTTTTTGTGGAGTATTGTGAGTTTTATGGTTGCAATCCGTCAAGTATTTGCCTTTTTTAGGAGGTTCATAAGTGGGATGTAAAGATGACATGTATACATAGATAATTCAAGAATCAATTGCTTAAGGTGACATATATGCGAATAACCTCTTTTGATATGCTTCATGCTAGGAATCAAATAGTAATTTTATAGCAGAAAAGCGATCATAAAATTACATTAGTGCCACTATCCATCATTATTATTAGAGAAAATATAATTGAAAATTTTATTCACATTCGAAACGATGCGTAACAACTATTAAAAAACGACGTAACGAGAAATAGCCACAATAATGGATCATCGTTTTTCTCTTCACCAATTCAAGTTATAAAATATAAAATAAATAAAATTTCAACACTGTCGATAATAAGAATAAAGAAACAAGATTGTAAAAGTAAAAACAAAAGTAAAAAAAATAACTCAAAGCCTCAATTTCAAAATCAATCTAAAAATAAGTTAAAAAATAGAATCAAATCATTTATCAACCATTCAATCGACAATAACCTTAGCTTAATCTGTAATTTATCCAAATTTAAATTAGCATCAAGTCTTCAATCAATAATCAAGATCAAAGGAGGTAAGAAGAGAAAATTAAATTACTTTATTTTTGTAAAATTTAAAATAATGTTTATCTTTGTGAGAATTTAAGAGAGATAAGGGAGGTACTTTTTAGGCATTAGGCAGGTGATAGTGACAAGGATATGCAAGAGAGAATGAGAGATACAAAGAAAAATGGGAGAAGAAGAAGACGTCTGAGGCATGAAAAACATAAAAAGATTTGAAAAAGGAATTAGGTAGCCAAATTTTGAAGGAAATTTGGGGATAGGTGGGTGAAGTGGGACAGGATGAGAGGGGAGGGGTGGGTAAGGTGGGTTTTTTATTTAATTTTGAAATTAATTTTATTAAAATATAAGTTTAAAAATTTTTAATTTTTGATTTTTTTTAGATAAAATATAATTAAAGAGATTAAGGATTTATAATTGAAAAAAATTAAGAGATTAATAATTTAATATGAGATATATAGAGATTTTAAATGAAAATTTTTGATAAATTTTTGTGTTTAAGTTAGATGAAAAATAATTAAAATTAAATATTATATTTTGATTCTATTATTTATTACTTTATGATTTTGTACATGAAATTTAATAATTTTTTGTTATTTTGGTATTTGTATTGTTGCCAATTCTTTTGCTATTAGATAAATTCTTATTATTTTTGTGTAATTATTGAAGATTTTATTTATTATATAATTATTGATAGTAATTTGTGATAAAAAATTTTTATATATAATAATTATATCAAAAAGATTAATTTACTTAATAAATTTAGCATTTTATAATCTATTACTCTTAAGATTAAAAACTAAAAATAAAAAAATTTAACATAAATTTAATTTTTAATGATGAAATAAGGAACATTAATATTTCTAAATATAAGTTTTTTTTTAATATAAAATAGCAAACATGCCAGCACGTGAAAAGTTCTTAAGTAAAAGAGTAGAGGACGTGCCAAATGATGATATAGGTTGGCATTTTGGAACGTTTGAACCAAATACAAAAAGAAATGTTTCATGCAAACTTTGTGATAAAATTGTAAAAGGAGGAATAATACGTTGCAAGGAACACATTAGTTATAAAACTAGCAATGTTGCACCATATCCCAACGTTACTAGTATGTTTTGTTTTTATAATTCATTTGGAAATATTATTGTTAATTTTTCAATAAAAATTATAAAATTACATAAACATGTGCAACTAATTTTTTCTTTTTTTTTAACTATATTATTAATAGGTATAGTAAAAAAAAGTATGATGAAATTTCTTTAAAAAAGCAAATAAAAAAAAATTGACAACAAAAGGAGAAAATTTTAATTTTTATCACATTTAAGAAGGGAAGATGATTATGAAGAATTTATTGATGAAGACACCGCTACTAGACAAGCTATGCAAGATAGTATTCAATCACAATATGAGTGGCACAAAAAATAAAAAATTCAGACAAAGAACTGTCGTAACGGTTTTGTGTTCACCCGACTAATTTGAAAACGAAATAAAAAATGAGAGTCGCCACCAATCTTTTTTGGCTAGGTGCGATTGGCCACTTATTAAAACATATCTTTTTAATGAAATCTTAAAATTTATT